ACCAGAAAATTTTCTAACTTGATAGGAAATATGTTAAGTGTACCTCAGAGACTCAAAGTAGCGCCTCTACCAAGACTCTGAAATTACCTCTATAAATTATTAGCTGATCTAAGGAATCAAAATCTAATACACTATTGAAAGGCCCCTAAAGAAACACAAATATCTAATTGCTACACTCTAAAGGAAATTAAAACTAACATTTTCAAAAATTAAGTAACTCAGTTTTGAAATGCGCATGTCATTAAACAATAAGGATAATTACCCACTAGACTGATTGTAACCAACTATCAAAGAAAAATTATCAGAAACTTTTAGCTTAATCCAAAACATTTAAGAACTGAAAAAAGATGAATAAAATGCGAAAATTAAGTATTTGACAGCTTTTGAAAAATGAGCACCATATACAAAAAGAAATTACAAAAAAAAGGGTAATACAAGAAAAAGTTGCTTGCATAAAAGAAGAGCTAATCAAACGAAAACTATAGTAACTCAAAACATGGTGCATACACCTGGTCTTATAACAAAACTTCTTGAACTAAAAAAAAACAACTCAAAATGTGATAGCATCATCTTAGATTAGGTACATTTCTGGAAACAATTCAGCACGGAAAGTGACAACACAAACTATTCTGCTGTAATTAAATTGTCAAACCCATGTGAATTAATATTCAGCATGTCATAAGAAGATATTTCTTGAATTTCCTTTAATGCATGTAACCATGAAAAGACAAAAAATGATTTTATGGAATCACTTTGGAAATTATAAGCCAAAACGGTTGTAATATCATAAATCTTCTCTTCATAAAAAATAACAACTTGAATCTAACACATTGTTTTTATAGAAAATTAAATCTAAGTGAAAACTCATTAAAAACTTTAAACAATTTGGAAACAGCAGAAATTCTGGTATGTGAAACTCTTGACAAACTTGGTTCTGTTAAAGCTGATATAAATTCAATTGATCCAAAATAGCAGGAGTGAGGTTTTGAACAGCTAGTTGAAGTTCTACTCAACTATACATTGCAAAATCCATAATCATTTATTGGTTGACCAGGTAATACTATCAGAAAAGAAAAGAAAAATACAAATTCTCACAATAATTGGAAGCACAAACATCAAATAAAAAAGCACTTCCAGTAAATAATGGTGATGTTCACAAAATCATCGCAGTCAAAATGTATGAAACTTTATTTGACACATCAAAGTAAACAGTTTCTTTAAAAAAAACAATGTTTCAGTTGCAAAGAACTTTACAGCTTAGATGTACTTGATTTAGAAGATCAAAGTGAAGGAAACAAAAGTGAAGTGTATGTTTTAAAGAATAATTATTGTTTTTATAATTCTTACATTTGTCAAAAAATTTAAAACAAAATGCAATTACTTTGTTTAAAAAAGGAGGATTCCAACTTCACAAATGACAATCAAACTTTCTTGTATTGGAAAAATGGTTCAGAATATAACTACCATGAAGTTAACATTAATAAAAAAATCAACTTTATGCAAAAATTAGTTATAGGACAAAAATAATGATACTTTACTTGTAGGCTGTAAGCCAACTCACCAAATAACCAAAAGAGGAATTTTAAAAAACTTCACTAAGACTATTTTCTTCAATAATATTAGGGCAAAACCCAAGAGATTTGTTAACAGTTTTCTTGAGACAAACAACTTTCACCTGCATTAGCAGAGTAATGGCTGCTTTCTAAATATGATTTACTATATCTAACATCTATACCAAGAAGTATAATTATTTTGATGAGAAAATACAAATGATTGAAATCCATGGATTTGGTGATGCAAGCAAAGATGGTTGCTGTAGTGCAATACTACAATACTAGTACATCAAAGTAACAAAGCTAATCAAGGACTGTCGGATCACACATTTCCAAGCAAAGTTTGTCTATTCCTAGACTTGAATTGATTTCTTGCAATATGGTGGCTAACTCTCTCACAATGATTAGATTGGCACCTAAGGAATATCCAGTTGTTGAGGTATACAGTTAGTTTGTTAGTCAGTAGCACAACATAGGGTCCTAAATGCCAATCGTAAATTGAATCGAATCAAATTGTGTTTAAAAGATCATTAAAAGAAGTTGGATTATATGGAGTCAATGCCCAACCAGTTAAAATATAGCAGATATTAGAAGTAGAGAAGTTTAAAGACTCCCAAAAATCTGGCTTAAGAGCCTAAGGATTATGGCTTGCAAAAATGAATGAGTGGTCAACCAACATTTCTGTTCACAATTGGAAAAAATAATAAGTTAATTCAACCAAAATACATCACTATACTACAGGCAAGAAGTTTAACTATTTACATGAACTTAGGAACATGTCTAAACTTCTTAAGAATAATAGTTTTATGAATTATTATCAATCCTAGAAGTAGAAAGAAACATCAATGGTGTGTTGTCATCAACTAAATGGGACAATGTCACACAGCAGCTGATTAAAATGATTCAATATATTTGAAAAATCAAAAAAATATAAAGAAACTTCAGAATGATTAACATTACAGAAAAATCACAATGGACTAATTTGTATTGGTCATGTATAGTTTGTATTGGTCATGTACAGTTTTTATTGATCATGTGCAGTTTTTATTGGTCATGTACAAAGCAAACACCAAACATTTGTACCTCACAAACATCCCCTCACAAACTTAGTTATTTAAAAAGCAAATACAAAAATACATCATGGAATGGCTGACCTAATTATGTCAAACTTTTGTGAGTATTATTGGTATTATTGAGATACCTTACAAGTGAAAACAATCAAATACAATTGCAATTGTTACTTACAATTACAATTTTTTGTTGCTTATAATTACCAGTTTATAGGAACTTTGCATCAGTTTTTGTATAAAATAGATTTTTTGTAATGAAAATATATAGAAGCGTTTAAGTTAGTCAGTTGATTTAAAAAGAAATTTTGCTTTCACAAAAATTGTCTCCTATTAGTTGCTTTAGTTTATAAAAATTATAAAAACTATAAAAATTAATGAAAAATATGTGCAAAATATTTTTTGTACTGTTGGACCAAGTAATCAAAAAACAGCATGTTGAACCCATTAAAAATTTGTAAAATATTTATCCTTTATGCCTATTTTTACTGTAAAATTTTACAGGTAGTTTGCGGTTTTATTATATCAATTAAAAGTGTTTTGTATCTTAGAGTATCTGTGCATAACAAAAGCATGCTTTTCATAACAATCATCATTTTTGCTGCCTTTCTATATTGACCAGGTTTTCTGACTGGGGCTCCCTATTAATTTTCAGGGTCACTGAAGGACCCCTAAAACATTTTCTATCAAGCTAAAAAACTTCCTGGTGTAATAACTCACCAAAAAGAAACTTTTCAGATGGTGGGAGCCATACATTACACATACTTTTGGATGGTGTAACAATATAGAATATATATAGTAAGTACAGAAAGTTATTACTTTCATTGAAATATACTTTTCATTAACTTTACGTTTGTATCAAAAAAACACTTCTCATTGAATTGTATGAATTTTTATTTATTATTTGAAACAACTTTTATTAACATGAAGATGTTTACAGGTATGAGACTTTTTATCATATTATCTTTTATTAATAAAAAAAGTCTTAATAAATTTTATATATATATATATATATATATATATATATATATATATATATATATATATATATATATATATATATATATATATATATATATATATATATATATATATATATATATATATATATATATATATATGTATATATATATATATATATATATATATATATATATATATATATATATATATATATATATATATATATATATATATATAATTTGCAAAATATTTTAGTTGAACTTTATATCAGATAAGAAATTATTTGAAAAAAAAATAAAAATAAATTTTATTATGCATAAATTATATCATAGTGTGCATAAATTATAACAAAAAATGCACAAAATGAAGAGTATACTTAGCATACACATGTTAGGCATTAAAAAGCATTATGATAAAAAGTAAAACATTTTCAGATTAAAGAAATGAAACAACTACTTCTAATATTTATATTATCCCATGGTAAAAAAAAAACATTTTATTAAAAAATTAAATTTAAGTAAATAAAAAAAATTAAAAAGTAAATAGACTATAGTAAAGCTAGTTAATAAAACTAAAAAATAAACTTTAAATTTTAAATAATTTTAAAATTCTTTTATTATAGTTCAAGCAAAAATATTCTCAGGAAAACAGGCAGAAGAAGGTAAGAACATTAGTGTTATGAATGTTTGTATGCATTTATGTGTATGTATCTATGTATGTGTGTATGAGTTTGTGTGTGTACACTTAAGTACACAAAAAATTTTTTTTTTTTAAGCATGTGGTCTTTCTGATGCAACAGTTCATGAAGGGCATAATTTTCAAAACATGAAAATCTCAGGTAAAGGCGTGGAAATGAAGTACACCCATTTGAAAAATGATGAGGTTCAATCAAACCGCACTTGGCCATGGCAAGTAATTATTTTAAGTAATGAGAAAGTTAAATGCAATGGATTATTAATAAAGTCTAATTGGATTCTGGTCACTGCATCTTGCATATGTAAGTCATATAAAATTTAACTATACAGTTTAGGTATACAGTTATATGTAACAAATAAACCATAACTTATTTTGCACTGTTATTAAAATATTTATAAAATCTTATAAATAGAATACAAATAAAACCAAAAAAATTATAAAGCATTGAATGAATTATAATTATGATATTTTAATATGAAAAAATTTGTAACCAAATACTTGTAACTTTATAAAATAATATATGCAACTTTCTAAGCTAATATAAGCAACTTTCTAAACTAATATATGCCTTATGCTCAACTATACAAGTAAATATTTGTAACTTTGTAAAGTAATACATGCAACTTTCTAAAATAATAAATGCAACTTTCTAAACTAATATATGCAACTTTCTAAACTAATATACGCCTTATGATCAACAACAACAAACAAACAATAATGTTATGTACATAATGACAAAATATGAACAACAATAAAAGTTACAGTTTATATATTTTAGTCAATGAAGAGCATCTTCAAGTGATGATTAATGGAAGAATCTTTGAAGCCAAACAAAAATTCATTCACAGTGATTTCCAACAACAAGAAGTTAATCAAATGGCAAACGATATTGGTATAGCAGTATTTTATTAGATAGTAACAGTTTAATAACACTTTGTAACAGTTTTAATAAACTTCACATAATGATAGTATTACATTTTTTTTTTTAAATGTGTTTTAACATTTTAAAAAAATTTTTAATTTTAAATCATTACTCTTGCTTTATGGTATTGAAAAAAATAATACATGTCTTACTTTTTATTTCAGCACTTATTCAATTAAAAACTAAAGTAACAAGTGAAACTGGAGGCGATGAAACATTACCAATCTGCCTTCCCCTGTCGAAAAACCAACTAAAACAAACCAATGAATGTGCTGTTACTCACATAAGTGGTGATATATCTGATTTAAAATCATATGATGGTTCAGCTAGAAATTTAGATAGAAAAGATTGTAAAAAAAACTCAGAGGAAATTTATGGCTCTAAAGCAGAACTAATGTGTGTTGCTACACGACCTGAGATGAAAAAATTATGCAATGGCCGCACAATAATGTACTTCATATGTAAAGCAACTGGTTCATGGTCTGTTTATGGTTTTAACAAATTTTGCAGTAAAGCCACAGACTACTCTAAATCTATTAATAGAGCATATTACTTAGATTTGATACATTATAAAATTTGGATTGAAACAATAATAAATGAAAAAACAATTAAAAGTTTTTGAAATATGTTGCCATATTAAAATTTTATTTTATATATGTGTGTGGGAGTATGTGCATATATATACATACATACATACATATATATATATATATATATATATATATATATATATATATATATATATATATATATATATATATATATATATATATATATATATATACACGCACACACATGTGTGTGTAAACATAGTTTGTTATAAAAAAGCATATTGTTAATACCAAAAATATTTTTAAAAAATTTAATACTTTTCTTAAACAAATAAAAAAAAATTTTAAAGAAATTTTAAACTCAAAATACAATAAACTCAATAGCTTCAATTTTTTATTTATATTTGTTTTGCCACACGTTTTTGCTAAAATTTATCACACACCTGTTTCACTCAATATAAAGACAAGCATGACGTCATGTTTATCAAAAAAAAAATTCAGCATAAAAAATTTAATAATTCAAACTTTAAAATAATAGTAACTTTTTTCTATAAATGCTTGTATCTTCAAATTAAAAAAATATAAAAGATCCTTGTTAAATAAATATCTATATTAAGTGGAATAAAAATGAATATTGCTAAAATATTTTTAATGATTTAAAAACACTTTTCTGGTTTTTGCATATTTTGCAGAAAACCTGAGTTGGGCCAACTTAGATTTTATAACATAGCTCTGTGCTTGATAGCCATGAATGTCCATTCTATCAGATTCCTAAATCATCTTGGTGGTTTTTCTACAAAAAGACTATTTTTTAAGCATTTGCATTTCTTAATTTATCGTTTTTAAATGCAAAACATAACTTTTTTGATGGATGACATAAGTTATTGAAATTTCAACCTTTTATGCAAATAAAAATGAAAAAATTGATTTATGTACCTTCAGCTATATCATCAAATATGTTTTTAAAAATGCCATGTTTTACAACTAATCTTGTTAGTTTTAGGCATACATTTGTATTGACATTTTATTACAATGACGTAACCTTTATTCATTATGTCCCAAACTATTTATTAACGAATTCTGTCCACACAATTGTTTTGGCGAGTCAATTTTTGAAGTATTAAGTAAACAAAGTTACACAGAATTTTTCTCAGATAAGTTGTTAAATCAACTTTTATCTAGTGCATTTATTTGTTTAGTAACATTATTTTATTTATTTGTATTATATTTATTACTAAGTCAATTTTGTTTTAATAACTATGTATTTAACTGAAAGGGAAATTTTAAAACAACACATTGAATGGGAAAATGGTTGGGAAGATGTAAATGTAACTTTCTTTTTGTTAAGCAATTAATTAAGGCAGATAAGGTCACTAACAATGTAATTTCCATTTAATGACAGTCTTTAAAATAAGAGGTGATTTATTTAGTTTTATGAGCTTTATTTTGCTAAATGATTTTGATATGCCTAGTAATGACGAGTTTGAGAAAATATGCCTAAAGTTAACACATCTGTTTTGATTTTAAGCTAAAAGGCAAAATAGTCATGTTGTTCTTAGGTGGAGATTTACAATTGTCCCAGAATTGTTCTTAGGTGGAGAACCCTAGTGTCCCAGAACATCAATGATGTTCTGGGACACCAGGGTTCAGCTGCTAGCTTTCCTAGTTTTACAGACCTAGTTGAGTAGACCTAGTTCTCTAAGAAACCATGCTTCTATGCCCCCACAAACTTGCTAATTGTAACATTAAGTCTCTGGAAAAGCCTAAAAATGAGAACTTGTGTGAAGATAGACAAGGTGGAAACTTAAGCGCTCTAGGTAAGCTTTATTATTCAATTCTTGCTCCATTGATTTTTTTCATGATAACTTTGGAAAATGTAGTGCCACCTGTTTTGTATATTATATTGGAAGTTGTGTTAAAATTGTATTTGTTATTTAAAAGTTATTTGTTGAAGGAGTGTAAGACTTTGTCAAGCTGATTCTTCTTTATCGCATAATGAGAATGTGAGAATGAATGAATTGTGGGCTGCTAAAAGCGTTGAATGTTCTAAAACTGCAGAAGCTTTGCGTTTATAAGGAAATCAACTTAAAGGTGTTCTAAATCTAAAGGAAGATTGGTTACCTTTTAATAAAAAATTTCTGAATTAGAATGCATATCCCTCCTCCAATAAAACTCCTTTAATAAAAAAACAACCTGTAAACAGCAAGAAATGTGTGCTAGTATCAGGTGTTTAATTACAAATTATGATTGTTAAATTGATTGGGTTTAAAAACTATTGGGTTGTGGAGTGAAAAGGAGGCAGAGTGTTTGCATAATAGCGTAAATAAAGAATTAAGACGGTTGCATTCATTAAGGAGCAGAAGCTGCATCTTGTTCTAAAATCTTTTGAATTGCACAGCAAAGCTGATAGGAAGCTTCAAGCCTCTAAAGTGAGAAAGTGTGGTGTGTGTTCTGAGCGTGGAAAAAATTTATTTTATAGACAAGTTCTTTGTCTTATTTGTGGTCATCAAATTTAGTTAAAATATTTAAAAAATTAAAAACAAAAAAATAAAACTTTTTATATCTAAGATAAATTATATAAGATCTTTAATTTATAAATAGGAGAATTTCATTCTGTCCTAATATGTCTGCGTAATGTTTGTTTGAAATATTAATTATTTTTTATTATATTGATTTTATATATTAGTTAGGTGCCCATTCTATTCCTATCTTCAAAAGTTAATTATATCTATCCAATATCTTTGCTCAGGTTAAAAAATGAAATATAAGTCTAGCATCATATTGTATGTAAAAATATAGTTTACTATTTTAACTTGTGATCAGAGCAATTGGTTGTTGGGTATGATCTTGAATGTTTGTGTAGTTAATTTTAAAAATGTATTAAATTTTAGTCATGAATCATTTTATTAGACAACCTTACACCATATTATTAGAACTGTATGCACAGAAAGAAATTTTTTTTAAATACTTGAGCTTTAAATGTTTAGACTAAATATTCCAAAATCGAAATCTGACTTTATTTTGTAATGCTATTAATTTAGCTCAGTGAAATTATTTTCTAATATAACAACATTTTAAATAATTTTGCGAAAATTGTGGTTTGCTTTCAGAATTTCAATAAAGTCAGTTTTTAGTTAACCTTTAGTTAACAATTTTTTTGTTTTTATCAAACAATGAGTTTATTTGATAATAACTATCAAAAATATATTTTTCCGATTTTTTTTTTGATAAAAAGTAACATCAAATTACCAAAATTCAGCCAAATTCATCATTTGTCGCATTTAATCTGGACTATAAGAAGTTTTTTTACTATTGCATTAAATGTTGACACATTTAATGCAATAGTAATGCAAAAGAACAGAGCAATTAACAGAGGGTGAATGGAAATAAACAGAGGGTGAATGGAAAAAAACATAACAGAGGGTGAATTAAAAAAACGTTTTGCCAATCATAAGCAATCTTTTAAAAATAAAAAGTATTCAAAAGACACCATGCTGTCAAAATATAAATGGGAACTAAAAGATGAAAATATTGATGATTTTATACTGAATTGTTCCATCCTTAAAACAGCGCCTGCATACAACAATATTTCCAAAAAATGCATACTACGTCTACAAGAAAAATTTCAAATAATTACACATGCAAACCAAGAATGTTTGTTGAACAAAAAATCGGAATTGATTTCTAAATGCAGGCACAAAAATAAGTTTCTCCTAAAAAACTATAAAAATAAGTGAGCTCAAATAATAGTTACATTGAATCCCTCCTTTTTTAAAAATATTTTAAAAAAAAAAAAAAAAAAAAAAAAAGCATAAGTAATCATTTCTAAAAAATTCTTTTTATAATAGTGTCAGCAAATTCCACAAATGTGTTAAAATTTACAGTAGTTAAAACATTTGCGACTTCTTGTAATTTAATTTTTTGATATAAATTGAAGTTTTATTAATTTGATCATTAATTTCTGATGAGTCTTTGTTGATGAAACACAGTGTAAAATGAAAAAAAATTTTTGTTAAGTGATTTTCTACTTATATATATATATATATATATATATATATATATATATATATATATATATATATATATATATATATATATATATATATATATATATATATATATATATATATATATATATATATATATATATATATATATATATATATATATATATATATATATATATATATATATATATATATATATATATATATATATATATATATATATATATATATATATATATATATATATATATATATATATATATATATATATATATATATATATATATATATATATATATATATATATATATATATATATATATATATATATATATATATATATATATATATATATATATATATATATATATATATATATATATATATATATATATATATATATATATATATATATATATATATATATATATATATATATATATATATATATATATATATATATATATATATATATATATATATATATATATATATATATATATATATATATATATATATATATATATATATATATATATATATATATATATATATATATATATATATATATATATATATATATATATATATATATATATATATATATATATATATATATATATATATATATATATATATATATATATATATATATATATATATATATATATATATATATATATATATATATATATATATATATATATATATATATATATATATATATATATATATATATATATATATATATATATATATATAGCCCTTGGAATTAGAAAAAATAACGTTGATATTAGCATCAAGTTGACACAAAACTTTTTACACTAAGCTTTTACCATAACAATAATGAAACAAGGTGGAAAAAAATTCACTGACCTTAGTCACTTTTAGGAATGGCAGTAGGGTTTTTTTTCTTAAGAGCTATATATATATACACACACACATACTTCCCTTCATACATTATTGCCAAAATTTATCACACACACACAAACACAAAGAGAGCCTTTTGCCAGACCTTGTCCCAAGCTTCTCAATTTATAAAAATCTTAAAGAAATAGAAAAGATTTGAAAAAAAAAGCTGAATAAAAAACATTTTCAGTCAAAACTTTTTATGGGACTTTATAAAATATTAAAAAAATAAATAAAATTAAAGAAAAATGTTTAAAATTTTTTTACCTTTGTAACTCTTTTTCAGATTTTTCATTTTCAATACAAAGTTTTGCAATTGTTTTTTTTAACCTACCCAGAAAAAGAAATCAAAAATACAAACTTTTAATAAGCAAATAAAAGAAACTAAAAATAAAACTCAGCATATATTATAAAATAAGGTTATTTAACTATGTTAGATTTAGAAAAAATTATAATAAATTTTTAAAACAACAATAAAAAAGTTTAAAACACACAAAAATTCTCTCTCTTGTATCTAGCAATAGATTTATAAAGGCTATTGCTTGAATAAAGATATATTTTTTTTTTTGTAAAATAATTGGCAGATACATATGGCAGTGGTGTACACTGGACTTTTAGATGTTTGAGTTTTGACACTTACAGGTATTGTGCAAACTCCAAACTTTTGTATGTTCATATTTATGTCAAATGAGAATGTTTTGCAAAAAGTTGTGAAATTTTAAATTTCATCTAATAATTTCTTATTTTTTGAAAATTATGATCATATAAAGTTTTAACCCCCCTCAATTTGAGGGGGTTGTAAACTTTGTAGGGTCATAAAAACTAAAAACTAAGAGGTTATTGCATGAAATTGGAAATTCGTTGATGAATATAAACTTAGATAAAAATACTAAAGAAATTATTTTCTCAACTTGTTGCTCCCACATTAAGGGCTGGGTGGGCCCGAAAATTGGTGTTTTTTTGTCCCTAAGCTCCAATCACCACAACTTTTTGCAAAACATTCTCATTTGACATAAATATGAACATAAAAAAGTTTGGAGTTTGCAAAATACGTGTAAGTGTCAAAACTCAAACATCTAAAAATTCAGTGTACACCACTGTATGGGTACAAGTCGATACCATAGCATGAGCTGATGTACCAGCATTGGCCACATATTTTATTATATATTATTGTATCTTATACATACAAAAACCTTTTATATGAAAAAATTATTTATATATAAATTTTTAATCACAACAATACTGTTGTGATTCAAAATTTATGAATCAAACTTTACTACTGTGACTTTAAGGCAAAAAGTTAAGCAACAGTACCGTTGCACTAGACACAACAACTTTTAATAGTACTAGACTAAGTAACAATAAATTAAAAAAAAAGTGGAATATAATGAATTTAGCATTTTTCTGTGTTTTCTTAATTTTTTTTTCGTTTGATCTTACTCAAGCCTTTCCAGGAAAGGGGTTTTTCGTTTTGTATGACCACATGCAAGTATATTATTTTAGACAACTTGAACACGGCTGTTTATAATAATCAAAGCTGAAAAAGTTACAAAAACAAAAAACAAAAAAACTAACATAATAAAAAGAGATTGAAATGTAAAAAAATAAAAACAAATTAATAATTTAAATAATTTGTGTACTGTTTTTATTTTTGTTTCTTTAGAGTGATTGTTACAATCAGCAACAAAATTAGGTGGGGCGGAGCAAAAAAAAAAAACAGTTTGAAGTCTACAATAAAAAGAATGATTTTCCTTTTCTTAACTTTTTTTTTTTAAAGGATAGCAAAAATACAAATTGTAATGTGTTTGTAAAATTTGTTTGTATAATTTTAATGTAACAACAAGGGTTGAATTAAGCGAATGCGAAATGCAAAATCTGGAAAAATATCTAGTATTCAAAATTTTAGTTTATACAAAACCATGTTCCTTGTTTTTAAGGGGAGAATCAACTTAAATTTGTTAGCGAAAAAATAAAAAATAAAACAATAAACTTACGATTACAAAAGTAATAACACTCTAGTCACTAACTGCATTACAAAAGTAATAACACTATAATAGTGTTATTACTTTTATAACGCACTTATAACTTTTAAAATTCATTCTTTGTTCAAGCAACATAAATAATCACAAATTTTAATTGAAGTAGAAAAATATCTAGAAGAATAAAGTGGATGTTCAAACAATATTTAAAACTTAAATAACTTAAATATAAAGGTGACAAACAACTTTATAAAATGTTTGGAATTAATAATATTGTTTAAACAAAGAATGAACTTTAAAAGTAATAAGTGCTTTATAAATGTAATAACACTATTAAAGTTTTATTACTTATATAATGCAATTAATGACTAAAGTATTTTTACTTTTGTAGTCGTAAGTTTATTGTTTTTGTTTTGTTTTTTGTAACTTTCTCGCTAGCAAAATTTTGATAATTTGCTCCTTATAAACGAAGTACACAGCTTTGCATGAACTAAAATTTTAAAGACCTAATATTTTACCAGTTTTTGCAAATCGCGATAGTATAATTTAACTCTTGATATAAACTTGTTACATTATAATTATACAAATATATTTTACAAACAGATGACAATACATATATACATTCTCTTTCCTCTTTAAAAGAAAAAACACATAAAATATGGGAAAGTCATCCTTTTTAACGCTTAAAACTGTTTTTTATTTATTTTTTTTGCTCTGATTTACTGAATTTTGTTGCTAATAATAATAACCACTATAAAAAAATAAAAATAAAAACAACACACAAATTATTTAAACAATAATTATTGTTTTCTATTTAAGTTTACTTTAATTTCTTATGTAGTTATTAAATTTAAAACAATTTTTCAGCGACACATAATAAAACTTTGCACAAACAGTCATGATCAAGTTGTCTAAATTAAAAAACGTTTTCGTGGATGTACGAGACGAAAAACCGCACACCTTTCCTGGATAGGCTTGTTACTTTTTTAGTCAGTAGATGTGTGGAGGATATATTTTTGTAGAAATAATAATTTTAAAGTTTTATGACAATAATTTTTTCATCAGTTCTAATTTATTTAATAAAATAATTCTATTTATTTACTTTGTTTTATTTTGAATGTGTTTTTTGTTTTTAATGTTATAAACTGTAAAAATAAAACAATGAAGCATATTTGTTTTTTATTAACACAAGCTTGTTATGATAACAAATCAACTTATTGGATGTCTATTAATGATATCAGTGATTTTTCTAAATTTTTTGACCCCCTCCTCACTCCCCCCTTTGTCAAACTCTGTCAATTTTTTGACCCCCTCTCTTTATATATGATGTCAGTTTTTGTATCCTTCTTTCCTTAAAATAATATTAAAAATATGCGTAAACACCATTAATTTTTTTCTGGTTAAATGATACATTTGTGTGGAAGTAGATCTCGGAAAATTGTATTATAGAACAGTTGATATCTTATCAAATAATAAACAAACTAATCGAACTAAGCAATTTTTATTCTATATCTATAATACAAATTCACTCATCATCTTCCCATGGGTTATTGAAGTGATCTTCGATTAAAAAATAGGTTGTGAATGCTCTTTGCCAACTAAAAGGTTATCATCTCTTGAGATATAATCAGATCCGTTGCGTCAAGTTCATTTTCATTTAACCATACAGCAGTTTCCAAATTCTTCTGCTGGGTGACTATCCCCTGCAGAAGAATTCAAAAACTGCAATGCATATTTGTATTATTAATTTTCCAGTATTGTTTACATCGCAATCAAAATAATGATTTTGTTTTTGTCAGCACAAGCTGTTTAAAATAATTTCTTCATGCCTCTTAGGAGCAATTACCATTTTGTATTTGCAATAATGACCGTATGTATTTACATTGCATCACATTTTACAAGGAGCTAGAGAGCAACTAGAGTTTTGTATTTGAAATAATGAAAATTGTATTTGAAATAATGACAAATGATATTATGTTTGCTTTGAAACACATTTTATAATCTGCTAGGGAGTGAATAATGATTGTTACTTTTATATACAAATAGTTGATATTTGTAAACAATTAGATTTGCAGTCAAATAATAAAAACAAAAATACAAAAATAAAAGGTTGGTAAATTTTTTATTTATTTAATGTAGGAAACTTATATAAAATTCCCCACAAGCAAATATACCATTTCTATACTACATTGTAGATGTAAATAACTTTAAAATCTACTCTTATAAACTTAAATTTTTTTTCTTTTTCAGATTGACATCATTTTGGTGTCAATGCCTTCTTTCAATTGTCAATTATTGTCAAACTTTTCAGTACCCCCTCCCCCTCATATATTTACTGACATCATTTATGGATGGCCCCTTCAAAGTACTGTTTTATTGTTATTTTATATAGCATTTTACAATAACAAAATTAATACGCTTTAAAAATAAAATATGTTTTAATATCAGCATGATTTAATATATTAAACAGTTTTTTATAACTGTTTAAAGTGGTTTGAATATTAAAATATTTGTTTTTTTACTTTAATTTTTTTAAGTATCATGTTAAGTAAAAATAATAATTAATAGTAATATCATTTTAGTATCAAATATGCTACTTGCGAATTACATTATAAGTGCAATTTAAACTTTAAATTATAACAGTTACTTAAGCTATTTTAAGCCCCATGAAACAAGAGTTTTATGAGATTAATTAAATATGAGAGATATTAAGTTAAAAAATAGCTATTACAAACTAATGTACAAAAGATACAATTTTGTACTGACGCTAACTTCTGTACTGCAAAGTGGTAAACAGGATGGGGGAGGAAATTAAAAAAAAAAAAAAACTGTAACTAGATTAATAACCAAAGAATTGTGAAAAACTTTCAACAAGGCACAAATTCGTTTTGAGAAAAAATTTAAGTTAAAAATAAGGTTTAATAAATTCTTTTGTTTATAGTCTAAATCATACTAAAAAGTAAGAAAAAAAAAGGTGATGTAAAAGTGGTAAAAAAAAAAAAAACTTTAGTAATCCCTCAAATAATCTTCATACTTTAGCAGGTAGTATCAATGAAACATGATTTGTGCTGACAAATTCAAATGGTTCAAAAGTTTTGAAGCTATGAAATTGGCCTATAAAATTGTTTTTTAGTTTAGATATAAACTTGTTTTATACAAAGCTACATCTAAATGACATTTAAGAAAATTACTTAAATTTATTTAAAAATAAAGCATTTAAACCAGTAGTTAATATTGTATGCATATAGATATTATTGAATGGTTTATTCTGGTGAGAGAGCAATTTTATTTAAACAACATTTTGAAAAATAAACACTTTAACTATAGAATAATAATAATTCAAGCATAAAGCAGATTACCTTATAATGTCAAAATCATTTTTAGAGACTGGTTCAACAAAATTTTGATTTCTATCTTTAAATTTCACTATCTCAAAAATAAAACATTCTCAAAACAAATAATATTGATTACAATATAAATTATACATCATTTTAAAGATACAATATATATGTATGTGTATATATATATATATATATATATATATATATATATATATATATATATATATATATATATATATATATATATATATATATATATATATATATATATTTATTTTTCTAAAATAAATGACGCTTTTTTTATATAACAATAAACAAAAATCATATGATGAAGATAAATTTTATATAAGTTGTATAGGTATATAATATATATATATATATATATATATATATATATATATATATATATATATATATATATATATATATATATATATATATATATATATATATATATATATATATATATATATTGTAAAACAATACATATGATTTGCCACGAATTGCAAAAATAGCCTTACAGCATTCTCTTACACAACCAAACATAACTTCTGGTTTTAGAGTGGCAGGAATATTAATTTATATATCGGGTTTTTACTTACGCAAACAGTTAAAACATATATGAATAAAAAATATTTTAAAAATTACTAACAAATGTTTACAACTTTTAGAATATTTATAATTTGAAATAAAACAATGCAACTCCTCCCAAAAATATTTACCTAATAGTTGGTTCACTTTAATTAAAACTTTTGTTATAAATCAATTTAAAAAAGTAAGTGTAACCATATACAAACATTGTTAAAAACAATGAATAAAAAAACAACCCTTAAAATACCAAAATATCAGTACTTAAGCCTTTTAATACTACTATTTGAAACTGAACAAAATTGACCGGTATACTGGCATTGGATTCCATACAATCTACATCCTCATTTTTATATGAGCAAAAATATTTGTAATACCTTGACAAAAAAAAAAAAGATGCTGCAGATAAAAAACACAAATTTGTTTGTTGCAACTCACTATATTCCATGGTTCTTTAAAAGTTTTATGAGGTTCCAGGATCCCTACAATGATTTGAAAGCTATCCAGACAGCCTATGCTTTGAGAAAGGCCAATAAAAGATTGGAAATGCTTTGCTTCTGAGCATGGCTTTATCTGGTACCTAACTCTTTAATTCTGTGTTTTATTCTTGGGGATAAAGAAGTTCCAGCTTAAACAAAACCTGCAAGCTCTGGTTGAGTTTGAAATGCCAGAAGAATTTCAGCATTGTAAACCACCAGATGTTCAAATCGGAGAGACCAGATATTTTAAAGTCATATAATTTTATCCTTACTATTTCTTAACTTTTTATGGTATATCAAGTTCCTGTAGGTTTTGGGTGCCAATAGAGCAATAGATGCTTCTCCAACCAGGTGCCCTTAACACATTAGTGATTAAATTGCAACAGCACCACCTCATTACTTGCAACAACACCATCTTAGCTCTAATTCAGAGGTTTAAATGGTTTATTCTAGGGCTTAACAGTTTTATTTAGGGCTAAACTTATATGAAGAACTCTGACATGATGGCAGGACATTGAAAAAAATAATGATCGGCCAGAAAACTTAGCTAAACTTACATAAACCCCCTTTAAATAGTCAGTGTTTGAAGTGGCTAAGCTGTCTATGATCAAAAGAATCTAACAAGCTTTTGAATTGCTGTATATTGTGCCTCAAGGCTAATGTGTTTGAAAACCACATTTTTTTAACTTCGTATCAAATTTGTGCATTTTTAAAATACTGCATTTTGAAACATTTGAAATTATAGGTGTTTTTGTTCATGAGATAGGCTAATGTAAAAGTTTTTCGCCTTCCAAATAAAAAAAATGTGGACGAACGAAAAAGATGGATAAGTGCTATACCTCGAAATAATATTCCAGATAGCCTAAATACTTTTATTTGTGAAGATCATTGGCCTAAAGACTATGAAAAAGTTTTAGTTTACGGGAAGTTAAGACCAAAACATCCACCATCTGTATTTTCTTGTGTAAATTCAAGTCAAATTCCGACTCCACTTGCACCACCAAGACCAACTACTAAATCATTGCCATCTTTAAAAAGTGCTTTGCCTGATGAAATGGAGGTTTTTGTGAAAGCTGATAATATTTCTTCTTTGGAAGATTTGTGTAATAAAATAATGTCTAAAACTATATCTTTTTCCTACTTAATAATACCACGTATCAATGAAAACTGTTTTACATCTTCAATCTGCTGATATATTGGACAACTTGGGTGTTCCAAAGTTTATTTTGAAAATAAAAAATGATTTATCCTTTGATAGCTATCACTGTTGTCTTAAGTGCACCATAAAACCTTTTTCTTACAATCATGTGAATATTATTGACTGTATTAGTCGTCTCCATGCTGCAATACACTATCTGAATTCTTTACCAATCGATCATAAAAAAAATATTATTATTGAAATATTATTAACAGAAGTTATACTCATTAATGTTTATTAGTGAAAAAAAGTATTCTCCTGATATGGTTGCTAGGGCATTTGAGTACTTTTAATTGTCAAGAACTCTTTACTCTCGATTACGTGATGACTATGAACTACCAAGTATATCTTTGATGACAAGGTTGACATCTAAAGTTAGAAATGTTGGAGATGATGACTTTTTAAAGTTGTATTTTGAAAAATGTTCTATATCTCAAAGACAAGTTATTCTACTAATTGATGAAATTTATGTTAAACCACAGTTAACATATCAAGAAGTAACATTTTTGGCAAATCTGTAAATTCCCCAAATGAGTTAGCAAAAACAGTTTTGGGTTTAATGATTTGTTCTTTATTTGGTGGAAAACAGTTTTTGTGTAAAGCATTACCAGTAACAGGTTTAGTTGCTAATTTTCAATATGATCAAACAGTGCAAACAATTGAAGTGATAAAAAAATGTGGTAGTTCTGCTGTTGCTATTCTTTGCGACAATACCAAAATAAATAAAAAGTTTTTTGGAATGTTCAATCTCTGTAGTACTTGGTGCACTAATGATAACATTTTCCTTCTGTATGACTTTGTTCATTTAATAAAATCTATTCGCAACAATTGGCTCACAGAAAAATCCCAAGAACTATGCTTTACTTACAAAGATATTTCAAGAACTGCAAAATGATCAGATCTTAAAAAACTTTTTCTATTTGAAAAAGATGCTATTGTTTAACTGTTTAAACTTAATAAAACAGCAGTTTTTCCTAAACCAATTGAACGTCAAATTGTGTCAACTTGTTTAAGAGTATTTTGTGATGAGACTGTAGCTGCTATAAAAACTCATCCATCCATAAAATATGTTGAAGAAACCACAGTGTTTTTATCTATTTTTATCAATTTTTTTTAAATTGTTAATGTTAAAGGACTTTATGAAGATATTTGTACTAGAGATAAATATCGTGCTGTTTTTTCATCAAACAATGATAAACCATTGAACTTTCTTTTAAATTTGGCTGATATGGTCGAAAAAATGGTTCCTGAAAAACAAGGTCATAGACTAAAAAATTTAACCAAAGACACTTCTTGTGTTTTTTCCCATACATGTCTTGGGATGGTTGAACTATTAAAACATTTACTAACTACAAGTCATAAGTATGTTTGCCTTGGACATTTCACTAGTGACCCAATTGAGAAAGCATTTGGGAAACTTTGGCAAGGATCAGGTGGTACCTATTTTATAAATGTTCAGCAAATATTACAAAAAGTCAACATTAAAAAAACAAAACTTTTTCTAAATATTGGTATCACTGCTAATGATTTAGAAGTATCATCAAGCCATTTGTGTGACAAATGTAATTATGTATTGCAAGATGATATTTTATTCAATGTATTTCATAATCTTCCAGTTATTGAAAGCAATTTGTCTAAAGAAATTAAAATGTCTTTGGTTTACATTGCTGGTTATATCAATAGGGAAGATCCTCCAGTTGAAGATACACTATTTTGCTTTGAGCAGTTTGGAGATTATGTTAGAGAGATTAATCATGGTGGTTTAAGTGTGCCTGAAGATAACATTTGCCATTGATATTTTATTCATACATTTTATTTCATCATCTTTACACTTTTGTCTGTCGTGTTAGCTTATCTAACTGTTTTTTGATGGTATCTGACTTTTATGGATTTACCAATGTTTCAAAAAAACATTGTAGAATCCTTGCCAATATAATTTTTAACAACTATTGCCATCTCTATACCCCACGATCTTCAAAAGAAACCCAAAATGAAAATTTTGAAGTTATCTTAATTGTAATTAATTTATTATACAATTTTTTTTTTCATTTTGGAGATTGAATTCGTTTAATTGTTACAAAAATCTTTATTTATGACTTACATATAAATCATTGTTTATTAGAAATTTAAAAAAAAGCTGTATGCTTCATAAAAAAAAACTCTCCTACAGTTTTTATAAAAGCAGTATGTTTACTCGGCCTGTCACTATAGTAGGCCATGATATATATATATATATATATATATATATATATATATATATATATATATATATATATATATATATATATATATATATATATATATATATATATATATATATATATATATATATATATATATATATATATATATATATATATATATATATATATATATATATATATATGTATATGTATATATATATATATATATATATATATATATACAAACTTTTATACATATATATTTTATACATATATACTAATGAAATATTAACAAACTTTTATAAATAAAAGTTTACTAATAAACAGCACTTACTACACTAAATCCCAGGGGCGTGTCTAGGGGATGTCCGCTACGTTGTTGGACATACCCGAAAAAATTAAATAAAAGTTTTTCAACTTGATTATATTGTTGAAAAAAGTCTTACTATATATAACTATTAAAACCAAACTACAGCTAAAACTAAACAAATTATGCATGGTTAATTATCTTGAACGGTTGGAAAAAAATTAAAAACCGGAAAACGGTTCAAGTTCCAAAATATTAAAAACCGGAAAATAGTATACCGGTTTTTAAATTTTGCGATTGACATTATTTTATTTATTTTATTTTGTTATATAACCTTATTTTATTTTGTTATACAGAACTCTATTTTTTGAATTTTTTCTTTCATTGGTTTAAAAAAAATCAAAATGATTATTTCAGTTAGAACAAACTTTGGACTTCCCTTTTGACATACACCCTGAGTAGAATTTTTATTAAGTTTTATTGTTTAACTATCACCAGGTGGTAAAATTAGTTAGTAACAACTAGTATATATCAAAATATATCAATAGACATACCCAGTTTTATTACACTAGACTGTGTATCATTTTAATAACTTGCATTTTAAGTAATAAATAAGGAGAAAAAAGGTTTTAAATGTGGAAAATAAATTTCGGACTTCCCCTTTGACCTACACCCTGCTAAATTTGTGTTTTATTAAATTAATTAACTTTATTAAACATATAACATGGCCGATGATTAGTTCAAAATGTCGTTTAATTCACAAGTTTATATAGCATTTTAAAGAAAAAGTTAGTATGTTAAAGAAAAGCATCATTTCCTTTAAAGTTAGGCGACCGAATATTACTTTAATTGTGTAGAACTTTTGATATCACAATATCCTTTGGATACAAGAAAGGAAGACAGAGAGTTACTACAAGTAGAAGCTGTTTATAGTTGCATCGATAAAAAACAGTATTTGTTCCTTGGTTTTCTTTTATAATCAAGAAGAAGATTTTAGACTTATTAAGTATAATTTTAATTAGCCATATTGTTTATCCTTTATGAGATTCATGATAATCGTAATAGGAACTATGATGAACCACATTAAAGAAAAAACTTGTTTACTTAGTATTTTTTATAAAAGCTATTACTGATTTTTCTTTGGGTGTTATGAAATGTGAAATTGTGGCATAGATACTTTACAAAGATTTTTTATACCTGTGGTTTTCTGTCTCAAAGAATGTCATTAATGGTGCAGCCTCTGCTACTGCTTCTTCTTCTGAATTTATAACAAATTTTGATTTTATTGTTGCACTGTGTATAACAAGACATGTTTTTAATAAACTTTTTTAATTACATAATTTTGCAAGCAAGTAATAATGATAATTTTTATAGTTTAAATCTTATTCAAGCATTAAAAGATTTTGTCTCTATAGTTTGAAATATTATTAATCAACACCTCTAAACAAGCCTAAAAATTGCAATTCAAATTATTTTAACTTGGTTATCGCTGTTTTTTTGCTAGACTATCTGAGTTTTATCTAGATTACTGAGATTAACACAATGGTTGATTGATACAATTTTGAAGTGTTATAAAGCACCTGTACTTTAATTTCTTCTTTCTATTATTCAGTTTCTTCTAAAAACAATTGCAGAAATTCAATGTTTTTTTATACTAGTTGAGAAAACCAAATCATACTTTTTAGTGTCTTGTTTAACCAAAGGCTTTATAAGGTTTATTTATTATTTCTAAACCAAAGGCTTTATTACTCAAATTT